TGTTCTGGGGTTGTTAACCAATGTCATAAAACAACGTGTACTTCTGTTTCATGAGAAACTATTTGTTCTGTAAGCCTTCACCTGAAGTACAATTAAAAAAAAAAGTTTCATCCCATCAGGTTTACTTTGTTCCCTCTGGCACATTCTTGGTCCTTGACTAATCAAGAGATCTAAGGCAATCAGGGAGTTCTGAATGTGGTAAGACCTAGAGGCTAGCAAGGCCTGATAGGGCTGTCTCTGTCCTAGGTGGTGGTTGATTAAGAGGAAACTCAAGTGAAGAATGAAGAGGAAGAATTACAAATTTGCTTCTAGTTAAAATATAAAGGGGAAAAGTATTCTTTGACTCAAATACCTTCAGATTATCTGTTTGACTCTCCATGGGTTACAGAGTCAAAGTTGGCTCTGGACAGCAAGGTACATTCCAAATGCTTTTTGGCTGACTACAAAATAAACTTATTGTTTGAAAACAGAACCGTTAGAAAACTTTCAAATTAATAGGGCACTGAAGCAGTCACTTCTTCCCTTTAAAGTGGATACTATGCCTGCTTTTTCCTTTGTATATTCCCTCAATGCCCAGGGCTCCATATCTATTCAGAATTTCGACGACTCTTGACATACACCCCCTTCCCAATACCTCTACATTAGAATAAATGACATGTTGGTAGTAGCACTGTAACATCCTTGACCATAATCAACATTTAACATTCTTTTAAAAATTAGAATTAAAAGTATTTTAATCATGATATTATTAAAATGTCAAAGAATATTTAATTTTCCATTTGGAAGTTATTCACTCTATTGGCCTTAAGACTAAAATATACCACCCTTTATATACCCATTAGTGGAGGAATGATGTTTTAAATTGTGATAATTTTAAACATGAATATTATTAAAGAACCATAAAAGGTAGCATTAGCATATTCTATCCAGGGTTTTTTTGAGTTTTTCTATTCCATGTCCCCCTCAAATACAGGGGAATTATTTTCTGACAAGCCTGAAAGGACATTTTCTCACACCGTAACCTGAAAAGAGGCTTCTTACAGGTCTATGTAACTTTGGTCAGCAGAAACAAAATGCAAATCTCTGGCCTGGCTAAGGCACTCTATTCTGAAATGTACAGACAACATGCACGCATGACCGACCATGCCACAGCTCCCCAAAAGGCAGCTCAGTGTATGCTGGGGAGAAAGGCTGGGGGTGAACTCACCCACAAATATCATGCATAAGCCTGAAATAGCTTTTATACTTTGGAAACATTATGGTAATTGGCATGACATAAATGCTCAGGGCTATTTGTAATTAAGTCCTGCTTCAGTTGCTATATATAAACAAATGGGGGCTTTTAAGATGCACTTTCAAGATGACAGACTAAAACAAGAAAACAAGCAGTACACTGAAGATTCACAAGTCCACAGTATTCTGAAACAGTTAATTGTTCAGTTTCACATTTACCTTGTTGGCAGCCACCTTTCTTTTATCTAACAGAATCAATAAAACTGACTCTCTGGCATAATTCTGTACCACCACAGGAAATACGTCGTAAGGTATGGGCACAAAACATTTTTCAAATCAACTTGATGCAACAGAAAGAGAGCAGAAACACATTTTGAGGTAAAAGAGCCCCAAGATTACAGGACATGACCGTTTTGCCAGAAATAAAGGGTATTTTTCCTGCACAAGTGGAAAAAAGCCTGTGGTCCAAATTTGTCATTTTATAAATATTTATCAGTTCTTTTCTTATAATACAGATTAATCTCATTCCTGTGTACAAGGTAAACAAAACAGTAAAATGATCCATTTAGAAATCTTAAAACAAAGCTTTTTGCCCACCCCAAATTAACACTTTATCCAGTTCAATTTTACAGATTACACAGAACAATGTATACAAAAAATAGCTACCTTCACTTAATTGGTTCATTCCCTGGCTTTCATGATGGCAATTTTTTTAAACAAACATGGAATTACTACTCACATTTTTCTGCATCCATTTTCATCTATTTTCAGTGTTCATTTTTGTCTCAGAGAAAGTCACCAAATATACTTCAATCTTTACAATTTTTTAAAATGAGTTTGGAACCAAGAGCTAGCTCCTTGCCTCCTCATCTCTAATAACCTGGATGACAATGATTCAAATTTACAAATTTAAAAAACAAAATATTACATAGTTATTTTTACAAAGCAGCAGACTGAAATTCAACAAACACTACAATTATATTTAACGATGGTCACATTCATAGATAAATAATGGTTGTGAATTTAATTACATATCAACACAGTGGTGCCTATTTTATCCAAGTGCAACCCGTCCAAAAAAAAGGGTTTAAGATACACTCTTCATTCAAGCACAAACTTCAATCAGTGGAAAATAAAAGAAAATCAGCAAGAAAATTTCACCCCCACCAAACTAAATGGTGACAAAGTTAAAAAAGAAACAGAATATCCACATTCATGAAAAGATGTGATCTATAAAACATCCTTATTAAAGTCAAAGGGATTTTTGTTTGTCAGTAAACCTCAAAAGTTACTCCAAGTCATATTAAAGAGAGTACATACTCAGTAAGGCATATATATCAAAAATTTTCTTTAAGTGGGGGAAGTGGGCAAGCTGAGAAAGAGAGTTTCTCTCTGCTTAATCCTGTATGAAACAAAAAACACAGTGCCCATCCCATCCCACAGAGAAAGACAGAGAGACAAGGGAATGGCAAGTTGAATCAGAAAACTAATTTTGGTCAGAGTTCATGAGATTCCTAATTCCAAATTCATTTTCTCTTATAAGGTACTTTATCTGCATTCTTCATAAGTAATTATCATAAGACTGGGACTGTCATGTGCATTCATACAATCATGGTTCACAGGCACCAAATCTTAGCAACCTGCAGCTGAGGGGGAACCCACATTGAAACAAAGAACAATGCCAATGGATGAGTTATAATTACAATCCATTCTGTACTAAGCCTCAACAGAATATTTTTCTTTAAATGAAATTCAAGCCATTTATCAAGATCTGTTCCATAACAAAGAGAGCCAGAATATTAGAGAATCTAAACGTATATACTGGCTCTCTTAGCAATGTGAGGACAAAAGGCATTTCCATGGGAAAGAGAAACCAGTTTTTGGCAACTGTATATTGTTCTGCTATCATTTGGCCATTTGGCATCTCTTGCTGAAGGTGACTTGCTCTTATCTTTTCCCTGTATTAGATTTGGGCTATGGATAGCTTCAACAGCTAAAGTCCTATTACAAAGTACCAAACATGAAAGAAAACCTGTTGCGGTTTTCTGAATGTTATCAGCTTTCCTAGTCCAATTTGGGGGTTTTAAAAAATAAAAGCCAAGCATTCTTAATTCTGTGTGAACTAAAAAATTATGGACTCATGAAGTTAAAATCACTAGGTAACATTCTGCTGGTCTAACTTACATTATGCTTAGCCAAAAATTCACATGGTTGTATAAAAAATAAAATAGTAGGCCCAAAATTCCACAAGTTCAGATCATATAAATCATTCCTGCTGTCCAAGTACCACACACACTGAGTTCCCATGTCTGTCAAGCACATCAGTTTAGTTCAGTGGTTATGAGTGAAATATTTATAAGCATCTTATATACAGTACTTCTTTCTGTAGATTACGCGTCAATCTTGGTTTCTCCCATTCCTAGTCAATCTGAGTTTGGTTTCCTCAATGAGAAGGGGTAAATCTGAAAATGGCTGCTCAGCTGCTTTACCTATAGAAAATCAGAACATGAGGCAGTGACAAATATGTACCTGATTATTTTTAAAAGGTACACAGAATTCACTCTCTAGAGATAACAACTCACTGACATGACAAACATTATCAGAAATAATGAAGAGGTTTTTCTGGATTAGGATAGTTACGGTAGAGCTAGATAGCTATATGAGAGTGCCAGAACTAACCCTGGGAGAGTTAGGACTTGAACCTGGATCTGCCTAACTCCAAAATCTAGTCTTTCCACATCCCTCCAGGCTACACAAAATCACATTCATATCTACTGAAAAACGATTACAAAAGACATTGGCAACTGTGTTCTTCATGCATATGACTGACAAAATATCAAAGGGCTAAGTGTTGATACAAAGCATATAACATTAAATTTGCACAAATAAAAATATAAATGATTATGTCTTATATTACAATTCATCAGACTTGTAACAGTTTATTACCATATAATTTCATTTATTTTGTTCTAACAAATGAGGGCTACTTTGGGGCAAAACACTATGGAAACAAGTCTAAGTTTGGCAATGTATGCTAGGTATAAAGTTGTTACCAAGCACAACAAGTGCTCCTCATTTCAAAGATGTATACAAAAACACAGAAGTATGTTTCTCAAACTGATCCACAGCAGGGATCCTTTAAAAACAAGCATACCAAACAGAAGAATTTTAAGAGCCATAAAAATGTGAATACCCTTTTACACAATCCTATTTCCATGTAATTATCCTCAGAAAATACAACAAATGAAAGGAAAAAATTCCTCCAGTTTGTTCACTCCAACATTATTTATAATGGTGAAAATCTGGAAACAACCTAATGACTAAAATAATTGGGTCATGACTACACAAAATTGGGTAATTATTAAGTAATCTCCTTGATGGATATTGTATGGCAATTAAAAAAATCACAATTATGAGACCATGTTAAAATATGTAAAATAATTGGAACAGAATGTTAAGTGGGGGAAAAAAGAAAATAAAAAACTCCATGGTTCTGATTTTCATTTTATTATATCTGTCTTGGTCCACTCTCCCTAAAACTAGTGTGTTATTTTAGAAGAGAATATTAAAGTGTGCAGGATACTTCGTAAGTCCATGCTCTTCTATAGTTCTCCTTATTTTGCTCATTATTTCTGCTGATGAGGGCTCAGGAATAACAGAGATGAAGTTAAGTCTCAAACAATACAAAAGTCTCCCTTTAGTCTAAAGTTCTAACCTCCCTTATCATAGCACTTATAGAATTGGGGGGCATAAAACCAATTTCAGTTTCTTTCCAAATCATGTTTTTGAGCAGTAAAAATGCTCCTAAAACTAAAGAAGTGAAAAAACAGATAATCAACAAATGAAACTATCTGTTCCCATATAATTAAAAGCACAAAATACTTTACAATCCTACTCACCAAGAAAATGTTCTACATTTCTACCCATCTAAAAACAAGAGGAAATCCTGGTGGTGTCGTGGTTAAGAGTTCGGCTGCTAAGCAAAAGGTTGGCAGTTCGAATCCACCAGGAGCTCCTTGGAAACCTGTGGGGCAGTTCTACTCTGTCCCACAGGGTCACTATGAGTTGGAATCGACTCGATGGCAATGGGTAAAAACACGATCTAATCCCTCATAATAATTATCCAGCTTTAAAATCATTTGTAGTTACTATAATATAGTCATTAAACAAATAGTATCTGAAATTACATACCTGGCTATTATCCAAATTTTAAAGAATATCTCACAATCCTTCCAGCTACTATAATAAGCAACTTTCATTTGAAATCTTCCATTCCCTTTCCATTATTTATAAGAACATATGGAACTAATTTTGCTCCTGATTACTCACCACTCGCACTCCATAATGGATGTGGGCCAGAGTGAAAGCTGTTGTTAATGTATATAGGAGAATGCTCTCAGTGTGAGAAGAGGCTACTCTGAAGTACACCACCATGACAACCAAGAACAGTGGAATGAGCAACCAGTTCAAAGTTGGGCACCGGGTACTGCTCATTTGACAAACAATTAGCTGGCACTTGAAGTTCGTAAAAAAAAAAATAAAGAAAATTTAGTTAGCAGAGCACTTCCACAACAAGTCACTCCAACATTTAAAAGCATTCAAGTATCTAAGCCAACACATATACAGTATTTCTCCATTGCTCAACTGTCTACCCAACTGTATGCCTGGACGCACCCCAAACCCAAGGACCCTCAGAGTATATGTCAGAAGACACTGGAAAGAATTTATTAAGAGTGCTACAGAAGGTATTCTTCCACTGAGTAACAGTTTGAATAAAATAAGTTTCTTCCAGTTTTAAGATTCTATGATATCTGTGGGAAAAAAAATGAAAACAGCCTCCCACATTCCTACACAACTAAATTTCTCTACGGCGATAAAGAAGTGCTGCCTCCAGTTCAGCCATGTGACCATCTCGACACCTCAGAACTGCTTTGGCTCCCTTTCTCTTCAATAGCTAACTCAAATATGGTTTTAGTTTTTCAGAGAGCCTTTTTATACAAGGCATTAATGCTTTCAGATTTTTAAACCCTATGAAATCAATGAGACTTGGAGTATGTATTAAACACATTTTACAGACATGGAAACATAAGCTCAGTGGTTAACTTCAAATACAGACCTAAGGACCTGGCCAGAGCTAGAAGACAAGCTTTCTGGCTGTGGGAACTATCAGGGTCTTTTCTCAGCTCCTCCTGATCTCTCCTTCCTGTCTGCACTCTTGCTAGGCCATAACACAGAAAGGGATTTTTAAAAATATGTTGTATTTATTGTAAAGTGTTTTATTCTGTTCTTAAATTAAAAATCAGTTGATTGAACAAATATATGTATGTGCATACATGTATGTGTATAGATAAGTCTTTTTACGCTCTCTCAAAAATCTCTTTCAAGCTCCCTAAACTGACCATCAGATCTATAGCCATTTCAACCACACTGTTAATAACATTTAGAACCTGAAGGAAATCTATAAATTACTCCATGAAGTCTTCAGCAGTCAACCAAAACAAAAAAGTCTACCATAGTTCCAAAATACAACTGTAGTCTTCAAATCCTACTGGTTTCAAAGGACAAAAATAATTTTCAGCATTTCTGTCTTTGAGATTATTAATTCTTCTTTCATATTTCTAATGTAAAATATCTTTAAATGAAAATCTGCCTATTGTAATACTGTATGAGATTTCTCACATCAACAGATAAATGGATAAACAAAATATCGTACACACATACAATGAAATACTACTCAGCGATAAAGAGAAATGAAGTCCTGATACATGCTACAACATGGATGAACCTCAAAAACATTAAGCTGAGTAAAATAAGTCAATCACAGAAGGACAAATATTGTATGATCTCACTTATATAAAATGACAATAGGCAAATGTATAGAGACCAGTTTATTAGTGGTTACTAGGGGCAGGAGGGAGGGGAAGCCATTGTTTGAGAAGCAGTGAGTTTCTGTTTATGGTGATGAGGAACTTGGCATCAATTAAGGGTAATGGTTGCATAACACGATTAATGTAATTGGTATCACTAAGCTGTACATCTGAAAAGGCTGAATTGGCAAATGTTGTGTTATATATAGTTTCACAACAACAATAATAAAAAGGGCAGCCGCTAACTGTTCATGTACATCCAAACACCTCACAGGATTTGTTTTTTAGTTCAGAGGTTTAGGGTCATGGTTTCGTGGGGCATTCCAATTAACTGGCCTAATATGTTTTTAGTGTTTCGGTTCATTGTACAGTGCCTGGGGTCTTAAAAGCTTTCGAGTAGCCAACTAAGGTACAACATTTGGTCTCTATTCCCCTGGAGCAGCAGAGGAAGGAAAGTTAGGAATTGGAGGAGGAACTGGAATGCGTGTCTAACTCCCTCCACGAACAGCTGCCTCCTTTGCCATGAGACAAGAAGAAGTGGATGGCGCCTGGCTACCATTACTGAATGCTTTGATCAAAGACTCTACAGAAGAATCCTGATCGAAGGGGGAAAATGTGGAATGGCATTTCAAATTTTTTTTGGAATCTGAACTTCTGGATAAATTGAGGCTGGATGAACTCCCTCCCAAACTATTGCCCTAAAAAATAAAAAAAAATTTAAAAAACCCCAAACCCGTTGCCATCGAATCAGCTTCGATTCGTAGCGACCCCATAGACAGAGTAGAACTGCTCCATAGTGTTTTCAAGGAGTCGCTGGTGGATTTCAACTGTCGACTTTCAACTGTGCTCTTAACCACTTCACCACCAGGGCTCCAGAGGTAATCTTTAAACCTTAAGCCTTAAACAGAAACTATTCCCTGAAGTCATCTTTAAGTCAAACAACAAAACAAAAAAAACCATTGTCGTAGAGTTGATTCCAACTCACAGCGACCTTACAGGACAGAGTACAACTACCTCATAGTTTCCAAGGAGCGGCTGGTGGATTTGAACTGCTGACCTTTTGGTTAGCAGCCGTGCTCTTAACCACTGTACTACCAGGGCCCTAAACCAAACAATAGTTTAGCTTAATTAGTAAAGAATGTTTGCCTTGAGCAATGTGCTCTTTTAATAATTATCTATATGGGATCAAATTGACAACAGCAACTAGATAAGAAGCTTAGGGGGCAGTGATTTTGGGTTAATCGTAGTGAAATAATTTAGAAAAGGATACTGAGAATGGTGGCACAACTTGAAGAATGTAACCAAATGTCACTGAATTGTGTATGTAGAAATTGTTCAATTGGTGTATGTTTTGCTATGTATATTTTCACCAAAAAAAAAAAAAGAGTTCTCAAATTATCAAATTCTGTCATATATTATGATTTCTAAAAGAAAAAAGCTTACAGTGATGTTGGCAAAGGCTGTTCCAACCATAAAGTAGAATATTCTAGGATGTATTTCTAAAATATCTGAAGGTGACCAGAGGATCCATGCTGTAGACAAAATGAATAGCAAACATGGAGAAAAGAAGGGAACCATAGCTTCATAGGCTGAATTGTGTTTCAAGGTGTTATTTTTATAGCTTCTGGGAAAAAAAAAATACAAAAAATATTATTACATATAAAAAGTACACTATATAGTACTTTGTAGTTTTCAAAGTACTTTCACATTCATTCTCTCATTTTATACTCACAATAATCCTATGGCATAGGCAGAACCAGCATTATTAACACCATTTTACAGAGAGGGTAAGTGAGGATGACAGAATTTACATAGCTTGTTACCAAGCGGCAGGACAAGGACTAGAGCTAAAGTCTACTGACTCCTATTGTTGTTAATTTCCCTCAAGTGGATTCAGACTCACGGAGACGTCATGTGTACAGAGTAGAACTGCTCCATGGGGTTTTCAAGGCTGTGACCTTTCAGAAGCAGATCACCAGGCCTGTCTTCTGAGGCGCCTCTGGGCAGGTTCAAACCACCAACCTTTTGGCTAGCAGTCGAGTGCTTAATCATTTGTGCCACCCAGGGACTCCTGCTCCCAACAATTTTTTTCTCTAAATCAAACTATCAAATGTTGTATTAGGAATGTCTTTGGTCTTTGTTCTATGAGATTATATTCTAATGGGGAAATAAAATAAATACAAAACAGTATTAGAAGAATATCTCATTGGTGCTACTGAGATACAAAGTGATAAGAACTTAGAGTGAGAACTACATGAAAGACTGAACTGAGAGTCCCAATACCACGTTAGTGCCTCTAAGCACACAGGAGGTAATCCAATGTACGTTTGCTAATCTGAACTAAGCCTTAGATTTTAGCCCTCATTCTGCCACTGATTACATGACCTTGGGCAAGATGTTGTCCAGTCAGGACTTCACAGATGAGATGAGGAAGAAATGACTCAAATAATCTCTAAGGCCCTTACAGCTTTACATTTATTTGATGGCCTCTATGACAACTGCCAGCTGCAATAGGAAAGATTCACAGAGTTGGGCTTGACATGATGAATAAGATTCTGCAAGAAAAGCTTATAGAAAGTATTTCAAGCAGAGGAAAACAGTGGGAGCAAAATCACTGAGGGGGAGAAGAGTAAAATATATTCAGGACATATGAAGTAAATTCAGTGTGGCTGAAAAAAGTGGGGAAGTGTCAGGTGAGAGAAATGAAACTCTACCTGCCCCACCCCTACCCCACGAAGACCTTCTACATAGTGTTATTTAGGAAGGATTAGCATAGGTCCAGGGTTTGGTCTTAAAATACACAGGTGTAGAAATTGTATTTTATGACCATGCTATCTACACTTAGAGATAATCAATTTAAAAAACAGAATGTGAACGTATCAATATTCAACAGGAATGTACTCCCTCCTGGTGGACAGATTCACTCACAAAAAATGACAAATCAGAAGACTGTTTGGTGAGCCCAAAACTCTAACAAAGGAACTAGTGTCCTTTTCGCTATGGTTAAATTGACTATATTAGCAATTCATAGATACCCTAAATTATCCTAAAACTCAATCTAGATTCAAAACACAGGTTTCATCCTCTTTTCAAAATGCCCAGACTCCAAAAGGAAAAATTGGTCCTTAAATTCATCTAAGTAACAATTTCTAATGATTTTCATATTTCTCATCCAATTAAAAAATAAAACTTACCTGAAAATGTTTAATAAACTCATTGGAAGAGTCACACATAATGCACAACCTGAAGGGAATAATAAAATTACCATGAATTCTTATTCAAGAGTGATCATTATCACTGAACACATACAAAATATGCTGTATTTTTAATATACCGTATTTTTAGACCCAATAATTTTCAGGTTCAAGTTTACTTCTATAATGAAATTAAGTATATCTGAAGAACATTTACACCTTAAAGAGTGGCAGTACAGTTTGGTGATTCGGAGCATAGACTCAAGGAGCCAGTCTGGGCTTGAGTTTTGGCTGTGCCACTAACTGGTTGACTAGACAACTTAACCTTTCAGTGACTCAGTTTTCTCTTTTATAAAATAGATAATAGTAATACCAACCACATAGGGTTTTAAGAATTAAGTTACTACACATAAAGACACTTGGAACAGTGCCTGGCACATAGTAAACTGCACAAGTGAGGACTACTGGGGCGGCGGATGGTTAATGCACCCTGCTGCTTCCCATGTATACCCATCTTTACCTCTCTAGCCTTTTCAATTTCAACCCCTTCCCCTGCCCTTACTGGTTCTTTCCCCTCAAACCTAAAAACAAGAATGGACTTTCCAAGAAACCCTACCACTGATTCTGCTGCCCTCAATACCTACTATCTTACTCCTGTATTTCTTATCACTGGCCACACTTTTCTGTTCCTTCAATTGCTTAGCACTCTTTTATCCATTCTGCTCCCCCATTCCACAGAAATTGTACTCTTGAAATTTACCAGGTCTCCTATATGATCAAATTCACTCCTTAACATTCTCACTCTCTGACATCTAAGCAAATGCCTTTGTTGACTACCCACTAACTGCAATTCTCTCTTCCCTTTGCCTTTATGATTTCATTCTCTCAATGTTCCTGTTAGCCATCCAACCATTTCGTTTTGTGTCCTTTATCAGCAACTCTTCCTCCTGTGTATTCCTAACTGGGCATTCCACTGTGCTTATATGCTCCTTCAGTGACCTAATGAATCCTCTCCTTGAACTACAAGCTTCCTGCAAATGACTCCAACATCTAGTTACTTAGCCTTGGGCAAATCAGACAACCTTTCTGAGTTACAGATGCCACAGTTGTACAATGAGGATAAGTTAAATGATTTCCTAGTGTCCCCTGCAGCTTTAAAATCATTTGATTCTATTATCTACAGAAATGTAATTTCCTTATCTTTCTCTTTCCAACTCCAAATCAACATATCTGGCAACTTCCTAGAAGCTTACATTTAAATGTTTCATTGTCACTCAACATATTAGCCCTAGTTTGTCCATTTCTGACTCCTGGTGACTATACTTGGCTTAGGGAATTAATGCAGCTATGACCTTATGGGCAGAAAAACATTCCTTCAAAACAATTCTTAAGACATTTTGCTAAAAATCAATGAAAAGACTGGAAACCACCAAATAGAAATCTTATCTCAAAAGGTGAATTACTCTGCTACTTCCAAAATCAAATGGAACTAAGTGTCCCAAGTTAGAAGATTTTAGAGGAAAAGGAAGAAGGCAAGCTGATTCTCTCAATGTCCCCAGAAATTCTTAGCAGCAAAATTACTCCATGTCAAGCTGGGAAGTCCTGGAGGAGAGCCAGGACTAAATGAATTAACCCGGAGCCACCTGTAGCTCTGGAGTGTTGGAAATAGATTGTGACAACTTGCAAAAGATTTGCTACCAAGAGTATTCTGAGTTTCAGATGTCTTAAAATAGTTTTATCTTAATTAGAGTACATGCAAAAAGCCACAGACTGCCAAAGTGGAAAACTTCATGTTCTACTTCTTAGTTGAACAGCACTTATGTACCTAAAATACATCCTACACAGAGAACTTAACTGTGAGTTTAAAAACTTATCTATTAAAATCTATATCCCAAGTATATAAAAATAGTGACAGAATCTACATATATGCAGACCTGCTTTTGGTATTACCATAATTGAAAACCCAGACTTCATAATATAGGAAGCTTAACTGCTATAGAAAAAGAATAGTGGTAGTCATAAAAAAGACTGAATGGAATGAGACACAATCCAAGGATAAGATGGCTGTAAAAAATATTTTGGTTCTGCACATTTCCAGTCATGTTTATTAAATAAGAATTTCAATTAAAACCACCAAGACAAAAAGTACCTTAAGGAAAGTAAAAAGACAAACAAACTAAGTAGGCAAACGAGACCCCAGGGTGCATGGTGAAAAAGACAGAAACTTGAGGAGGTTCTATTCTTGAAAAACAGAACTGCTCTTAGTGAAGTCTGAGTTTGCTGTATCTTTCACTAAGTATCCTTCCAATGTGCACTCAGTTCGGTCTGCAAAAGGCAGAAGTCGTACTGGCTTGAGCTATCAGAGGACAGAACAAAGGGCTGGCAGAGCAACTAAAGATTTAAGAGGTGGAACCCTGGAAGCAAGGAAAACAAAGAATATTATTTCTTTTTATAGCTGGATAACTTATCTATCCAGCTATAAAAAGGAATAAAGTATTGACAGATGCTACAACATGAATGAACCTTGCAAACATTATCCTAAGTAAAAGTCAGACACAAAAAGCTTTGGGATGATAATAAAAAGTTCTGGAATTAGATAATGGTGATAGTTGTACAACACTGTGAATATACTTAATGCCACTGAATTACACACTTTAAAATGGTTATGATGGTAAATTTTATGTTATGTATATTACCACAATAATTTTTTAAAAAGGAACCAAACAGAAATTCAAGAGCTGAAAAATACAATAACTTAAATGAAAAAATTCACTAAATGGGCTCAACAGCAGATTGGAGCTGACAGAAGAAAAAAGCAGTGAACTTGAAGATACATGAATAGAAATTATCCAATACAAAGAATAGAGAAAAATTAACAAAGACTCAGAAAATTACCTGCAGGGCAATATCAAGAAGTCTACCATTTGTGTAAGTGGAGTCACACAAGAAAAGGAGAGAAATAGAAAAAAAATATTTGAAGAATGGCTGAAAACTTCCTACATTTAGTCAAAAATATTAACTTACAGATCCAAGAAGCTCAACAAACACCAAGGGCAAACACACATACACACACACACACAGGCACATCATAATCGAACTGCTGAAAGCCAAAGATAAAGCAACCATCTTGAAAGCAACAAGAGAACAATAACACATTACATACAGGATGATAATGACATATGGGCTCACTCAGAAACAATGGATGCCAGAGGACACTTTAAAAAAAGAAGAAAACCTGTTGCCATCGAGTCAATTCCAACTCATAACGATCCTATAGGACAGAGTAGAACCACCCCATAGGGTTTCCAAGGAGTGGCTGGTGGATCCGAACTGCCAGCCTTTTGGTTAGCAGCCGTAGCTCGCAGTAGCTCTTAACTACTGCGCCACCAGGGCTCCAGAGGACATTAGAGTCACATATTCAAAATGCTGAGAAAAAAGAAAGGCAAAATAAAGATATTTCAGATAAACAAAAACTGAGAAAATGCTTTACTACAAAATCTGCACTGCGAGAAATGCTAAAGGAAGTCCTTCAGGCTTCTAGAAACGGATATCATATGGTAACCTGGATATACAGGAAGGAATGAAGTGCAGCAGAAATGGTAATTATGTGGCTATGTATAAAACACTATGTATTATAAAATAACCAGGGGTGAGATGGCAGTGATGCGTATGAAACAAGACTGGCACTGATATTGAAAATTGCTGAAGTTGGTGATGGTACAGAAGGATTTATTATATAAAGAACAGAAGTGTTTGAAATTTTCCATGATAAAAAGTGGGGAAAAAAAATGGAGGAGTGGGGGATCCTGCTTCCTACCTTGGTGGCCTGTCTACTATACCTAAAGAAGGCAACCTCCCAAAATGGTAAACAGGAGCCTATCAACCTCCTACCAACCTTTCACGCCTCCCCTCACCCTGAGGCTCCAGTCAGACAATCCCAGCATTCACCTCAACCCCCACCACCAATTTTATCATAGAAACTAACCTGCTTAGGCCCTAAGGCCTTTCTATCCATTTGTATCTACCTAAATCTAATGCTGAAAAAAACTGCTTTATTTATATAGAAACATGTGGGCTTTTGTTTTCTTTCAGAGGGGAGAATTCAGATAAACTTATAAGTTACAAAGAAAATTATGCGCCTACTGGCAGACAAAAAAATAAGTCTCCTATCAGAGGAGTCTATCTTATCTTTAAATTTAATATTAAAGAGGCAGCAAACCTGCCACAGAACAAGCTGCTTAAATCAAAAGATTTATTACATGGTAGGAGATGAAAAATGGCTAGCCTTTTCAAGGTAAAGAAGTAACAGTTCATAAAGTTACCAAAAAATGAACATTTAGTAGATTATAAGGGAGGCAGAGTTCCTCAAATATACGAGGTTCAGAGCCACAGAAAAGGCCCAAACCACTCCTTTTCTGAAACCCAGTGCCTAATACACCACATGCTCAGCTGTTTCTAAGCGTTACCTAATTCCCACTCTCTTGCCAAGGTTCACCAAAGGAAAGAGGCATGGTTAATTTTACACAGGGAATGCAGCAATATCCAACAAGTAAGACATTTTACTTCTAGAAAGGTCCTTAGTGCCACTCCTGGTGCCCCAAAGTAACAGCCCAGATTCCTCTTCCTCAGGGCTTCTTTCCATAACACCCACTCAGCCTATCATCCTGGAGATATCTCCTAAGGCTAAATCAAAAGGGAAACATTACCACTACCAACAGCCTTTACCTCACGTTCAGCAGGATAAGTAGGAAGGTACGTGAGAGGAACAGAGGCTCAATTACTTTCTAATAAGTAATGGCAATTACGTTAAACTCTATGTTTCATCTATTCTATTTCATACAAACCAGCAACAGTCAACTTTCAGATAACTATGAAACCGATAGCAAATTTCCACCTAAACGTGGAACCTCCAATACAGTCTAGATTAATGTGAATAGTTTACAAGGCTTACGTGATCTATTTTGATATTTTCCTCTGATTAGAAATAGCTTGATGCAGAACAAATAAAAACATACAAAAAAGACACCTTTTCCCCCTTTATGTTAAGGCTGAAATCCTAGAGGGTTGTTCTGCTGGCTGGAGGGCCACTGGTGGGGATATTTAGTCAAATACTGACTTTTGATAACAAAATGATGATTAAGACAGGCTTCAACATGGAGCTTCTTACCAATAATCATTGTAGTGAATAGGTCTCTATATAAGAAATTAAACAGGAAAGGTTCATACCAGGCCTCAACTCCCACAATCGCAGTCACTATGTAGACAAAAGAAATAGTCTGGAAGGAAAATGCAGACAAAAGCATACAGAGGCATTAACAGCTGGACAGTTCAGGGAGTCAATAATGCCTTATGTAGCATAAGTCTAGTCAGACAGTTTTAGTAAAAGCAAGAAGTATGCTTAAACTTGATATTGTGGCAAGTCTTCTTGCCTTTAAAAAAAATTACTGTCAGCCAACAATGCCATAAAATCACTAACTTCTAAACAATGCAAGCAACTGGCCATCTTTTGGAGCACTTTAAGGCACCTCATAAATTGGTTAAGCCAAAAGATGACCAAATTTGCCCACCCAATCATTTCATTCCTTAAACCCACTCCAACTTCTGATTTCTTTACTGGAGCCTTAGGTGCAAATGGGCAAAATGGCAACACAAAAAGCTGGGATTCAAAGGCAGGGAGAGTTAATAACAGCAAGCCTATTAAGAAGAGAAAACAAATTCTCTGTACTCAAAAGTTGAAGATGAAGACAAAATACCAACAATTTAATTATATGTGCATATCTTTTTTTATGAAATCAGCAGTTCAAATGAATGGATATTTAATAACATTAAGAAATGGTTGTTAACTGCTTGGCTAACAGTGGCATTATGATCATGTGTGTTTTTAAAAGGGCCCTTATCATTTGGAGATATTTACTAAAATATGTATGACATAATCTCAGGAATTTCCTTTAAAATCATTGCAGGGGGGCGGTGAGGAAGGGAATAGATAAAACTAGACCTAGACCGGCCGTGTTGGGATGGTAACTGCTGAAGCCAGGTAATGGGTACATAAGGGTTCACCATACTATTCATTTTATTTTTGTATATGTTTCAAACTTTCCATAAAAAAGTAAAATAAAATAAAACAAAGAAAGAAAAAAGCACACACCGGTTCCAATCAAAAAGCATAAGGGCAATAAAGAAGGAATGACAAAAACTTTCTGAAAAATTCCTGGTAATGTTGAAAATTTAAGGCTGAGCAGGTACTTACCACCTGGCTAACGTCATATCCCCATGGCAGGAAAAGAATCCCTGTGTTATACTTTTCCCAGTGAGACAGGATGAAGGAAAACAAAACTACCCATAGCAGGAGATAAAGAACAAAAACACTGACACCAGTTGATCCTCGTCCGAAGATGGAATACACAGTTACAACAAAGTACACACATGACCAACTATCCAGGCCATGGTCAAAAAGTTCCCCTAAGGGGGTGCTGGAGTTGGTTCTACGAGCTTGCTTTCCATCCACACCATCTGGAACAGAAACACATGCCACAGGAAAAAGGTCAACATCTGTACCAGGATGGAGAACGTCTTCTTTAATAAACTGAGGAAAAACAATCAGCGTATCACAAGAATGTTACCTAGCTATGGTAGCCAGTACTAAAAAAAAAAAAATTCAACCCTTAATTCTCACAATTCAAAGACTGCAGAAATAAAACCTATAATGTCTTAAAGTTTAATCTAAAAATTAAAATATAGTATACTGAATGATCTGAAGAAGCTGCTTTCTATTGGATTCTGAATTCCTCCAAATCTGCCTAATAACTGGGTTGTTCTACTAGGCATAAATTCTCAAGCCTCCAGCAAACCTTCACTATCTGTTCATTTACAATTCATCAAACATTCCATCCTCTAGTGTCTAAAAGCACTCTCTACTTCAGTCACGATAGCTATTTGATCCTGTTTGATATTATAGCCACTTACTTACAGATCTATTGCCTCCATGAGTGCTTTTGCACATAGTAGTTTAATGCAAATGCAAGAATTAAATTTATTGAAACTGTGCAATGCACTATTCTTGATGAGTGAAGATTACAAGGATGAATAAACTAAGTTTCTGCCTTCAGAAAAGTTTACAACTGAGAAAGGAGGCAGAATATGAAATATAACATATGATGATTAAAGGTATGGTATGTCACAAACCATAAAAAGTACAGAAAAGAGAAGGGTTCTCCTCAGGCTAATCTAGAATGGCTTTCCAGACAAGAGGAAATCTGAGTGGAGATGTAAAGAATGAGTTGGATTTCAGCAGATAAGATAAAGGAGCATGCCATTTCAAGAAAAGGGAGAACTATCAGCAAAAAGACTGAGATGGAAAAGCACAACGCACGCTCAGGGAATGCCAAGTAGTTTAGTTTGACTAGAAACTAGTATGTGAAGAAGGCAATAGAAAGAGGCTAGAAAGGAGGTGCGAGCCGGATTAAACATTTTATGGGGTCTGGGGAGCTACAAAAGGTATCTGAGTAGGGGAGTGACAATAGTAACAGCAATGCTTCTGGAAGACTCACCTGACATCAGGGTGAAAGACAGACTGGAGCGAGGAGCACTATGAGTAGACCTAAATTAACACGGAATGCAGTGGGAATGAAAGGCTGGGGGCAGGTTAGATATTAAGGGGGTAAATATGACAGGATGCAACAAAAGATAAGATGTGAAGTCTAAGGGCAAGGAAGGAGACAAAGGTGGCTCCAAAGTTCCCAGCCTGGGTAACTAAAAGAATGGTAGTGTTAATAGAAATAATGAAGTCAGAAGGAGAAACAAGACTGACAGAAAACATGCTGAGTACAATTTTAGATACTGCACTTGGAGTGTTGGTAGGATATCCACATGGTAATGTCAAGTGACTCAATCCAAGGGTACTAGCTACTGAGGAGATAACGGCTAGACACAGGCACGGGGATCATCTTACTAATCTAAGTAAGAATTAAGATTACCTAGGGAATGAGGAAAAGGAGAAAGCTAAAGATAAAGCATAGTGGAACACCTTCATTTAGGGGCAGAAATACAGGAGACTGTGAGAGTGAAAAGTATGATGAAACCTAGTTCAAAATGAAGAGTCTGAATTTAAAAAATTTTTTCTCCAAAAGAAATACAGTGTTAACTAAGTGCACTAGAATTAGGCTACCTGTAAAGATTCAGATTTAAGGAATTACAATTTTCTTATAATGACCGTGTTCATCTTGCTCACACAGTATTTTCCCCTGTGTCTACCTCAGTTCACTGCAAATAGGGCCTTCATAAATATTGTCAAAGGAATATATGAATCCCAAACTCCTGCCCAAATACTGCATCCCTTCTACAAGAGATGGGAAATTTACTGCTCCCTTAAGTAGCTAAAATATTTCCTTAAAGTCTTTCCTCATTATTCATTGGCTTAACAATGTCCTATTTTCAGTGCAACTCATGTGCAGTTATTACGAACAGTGAATTCATGAGTTATGTATTAGGTTTTATACTTTTTCTCACTGAACCCATTCTAGCTCCACAACTCTGGAGTACAGATGTTTCAGGTTTTTTAGTGTTTTATTTTAGAAAGGTAATCAGGACATACACTATATATTATGAACAGACCTGGGAGGGCCCTGGCAGCACCCTGTGATCAAACATATTAATATTTCTACAGCAAAATGTATGAACAGCCACATGCGGCAGAATAAATAAAGATTATAAATTGTCTTGTGTTAGTTCAAGACAGGTTTTGCAACAAATAGTTCATGTTGAGTCAGGATTTCTTGCTGGAATCGTGGACCTGAAACAACAGGCAGATGGCACAATACATCAAAAGACATCCAGCTCTTAAAGTCAGAGCTCACAGGCCACCCTTACCTTTTCCCTAGTCCTGTCAGCAGTCCTTGGAAGCAACATCCTCTAGCACCACTTTAAAATCTCATCTTTAATGACAAATGCATAAAAGCCTCTGCCTAAATATGTAACTTTTAACAAAGTTTTCCCCCAATTCTTCCAAACTTCACTGATCTCTTGCTTCTCTAAACTCCTGAAGCTCTGGTCATCACCATGTTAGCATTTAATCAGGTACCAAATTAGGGCTTTAGGAGTGCGTGTCATTTTCATTTGGAGAGACCTAAGAAACGTAAAGCCAGGGTCTGCTGTTTTACAGGTATTTAAAAACTATTTACTGAGTGCCTACTCTGTTAGGCACTGTTCTAGACACTGGGGATACAGCATTGAACAAAAAGTACTGACCCTCCAGGAACCTACATGTGATACTGTCATGTGGTTTTGAGTGCTGTGGAGAAAAATAAAGCAAGGAAGGAGAACAGGAAGAATGTGGGACAAACCACGCAGATAATACCCAGGAAAAGCATTCCTGGCAGAATACACAGTATAGCCGAGCACGGTAGATGTTCCTGACCACCCCCTCTACCAAGAAAGAACTGATCACTTCACTATGTGTTCTCCCACTGTGCTGATACATACCTCTATTACAGCACCTCTCTCACTATCCTGCAATTATCTATGTCAGTATTAAGGAACCCTGGTGGCACAGTGGTTAAAGCCTTTGGCTACTAACCAAAAGGCTGGCCCATCAGCTATTCCACAGGAGAAAGATGTGGCAGTCTGCTTCCGTAAGGATCACAGCCTTGGAAACTCTATGGAGGCAGTTCTACTCTGTCCTATAGGGTTGCCATGGGTTGGAATTGACTCAACGGCAGTGGGTTTGGGTTTTTTTGGTTTTATGTCAATATTGCTTCCCAAAAATGATGCCCTTTTCCGGGGGTTGGCAAATATTTTTTGTAAAGGACCATACCGTAAATATTTTAGGCTTTGTGGCCATCCTACTGTTACAACTACTCAACTGTGTCATTATGGTGGGAAAACAGCAATACAATATGTAAAGGAATGAGCATAGCTTTGCTCCAATAAAATTTTATTTACAAAAAGAGGCAACAGGCCAGATACAGCCTGTGGGCTAGATTTGGCCTGTGGACTATAGCTGGCAAACTCCTATCTTATTCTCTGTATCCCTAGCAATTAATGACATTTTTCATAGAGAAACTCAGAAACATGCATCAAATTGAACCAAACATTAATAAACCTAATTAAACTGAATAAGTGGCTACAGATTGCTCACAGATTCAACAGCCATTGACGAAAATGAATATTGGCCAACGTCTTACCTAGAGTGTAGGCTATGAAGTTGAGGATGCCCACCACAATCCAAACCCAATCAGGTACATGCTTGTGACCTGGTGCTGCAAAGTAAAGCAACTAAAATTTTAGTACAGTCTAAGTACAACATTTCTTAAAATGCTAATGAGAAATGTTTCTATTGTTAATTAGAGGCTAAAGTACTTTTATAATATATTCTGAATGCAAAACTAGGTAAAATATTAAAATGTATCAGTAAACTCTGGCTAAAGCAAAGAAGTAACTCTTCAGTCCCTTTTAGACTTTGAGCTTTACTCTTAACTCAAGACTGAGTGTTCATCTTGACTTGAAAATTATTTATGTGCCTAGAATGAAAAATAATATACTTTTGCGATTAAAAAAATGCTTGAGTTTAATCTCATTGCTTCTGATAATACTATAAACATCTACTGAACCACTGCCTTTATTGACCCTTTATGCTCTCATTCTATCATTAATTAGCTAAAAAAAAAAACCTTTCCATTTGGGTATAGATTACCTCAACTGGGGGATATTGGTATCAGAATCATTCTGAAATATCTGTACCTCACTTTTCCCCTATGACAGAATAACTAAGAATCTAGTCCTGGCTTTGTAATCAACCAGCAATGCATTCAACCTCTCCATCTTCTATTTCCCAAATATAAAATAAGGCATCTGGACTAGATAATTTATCAGGTCCTTTAAGTTTTAAGTTCTAAGATTTGGAGAAATATTATATTTACATATTTTTAATTATCTTAATAACCACGATAAATAACCTTATTTAGAGTAGTCAGAGAAAATAATATTTCTGGTTACGAAGATACATTTTTGAGGATGTCCTAAGGATTAAAACACAAGTAAAAAAACACTTAATACCAAAACCATGCTTAATGAAATTTAATCTGACTCATTGTTCAAATGGAACTTGAGGATCTTCTAGTGCTTCAGAGTTGGCATTTAAGACTTCAATTACCATTTTATTATATGTACAGAAGCAATGACTAGAAGTTTCAGTTGATAAAGACTGGCATATGTATAGTTTCAATATTGGGAATTTCTAGAATTTCAAAAGTTGTAAGTATTTGAAACTGAATTTTCCTACAAAAACAATGTTGTCAGTGGTGGTTAATTTTCCCACGTCGGCCCACAAAAGCCTGCTGAACCTCAATAGATGATTTATAATACTAAAATCCTAGGTATATCATTCATAAGTATTCCTATCAGAAAATATATTTTCTAACTTAGAATGCAAAAAATAATCATCTACCTCTATCTGTCTGTTCCTCTCAGCTCAACCAACTGGCTAAGCAATGGAAATAAACCCCGTTTCCCACTATTCCCCTTCATCCCAAATATACTCCAGGACCTAAGATTCTTTCCTACGACCTAAGGCAGAAGCTGGGTGTGAGATAAAGTGAAGAATAGGCATAGGGGTAAAAGATATTGGTGGTGGGTAAGAGGAACCTAAAAACATGTTCCAAAATGGGATCTTTCCTCTACTCCACCATAAGGGGCCAGACTTCTGTCAACAACTATTTAAGGCTATTTAAGGTCTAAAAAGCATTTTCAGAGGAAACTAGAGCTATTAAAGGCAAGTGAGAATGCTGAGCAGAAGGAAAGAGAGATCTCATTCCCTTTTTCTTCCATGACTAGAAAAAGGGAAGGCATATTCCTAGAATTTGGTAGGTAACTTGGGCCCTGTTCGTGTTCATTTTTTATGCAAAGTGTAGAAGTCTTCATCTTCCATCTTCTTGTAAATCCAATTATGCTTAATTTACTAAAATCCCATTGCTCTATACACAGCATACTTAAATTCCATAGGCAAGTTGGTATTATATCTCCAGAAATATATACATATACATATGTATGGGATACACATATGTATGGAAACAAACATAACAGATTATAAAACATAACTTAGCTTCTGTTCACACTTCTGACATTTTACATACCATTATAAAATATCCAAAACTTTTCAGAGATATAAGTATGTTAAAAGAACCAGAAAATAACCACTTCTCATTTTTCTCTAGGCATTTTGAATTTATATCAAAGTAATAACCTTACCTGAAGCATAAAAGTCAGGATCAAAGTACGCCATAAGTAGAAAATTGAATACAACCAGCAGAAAGCCAGAAAAGGTTATCAGATTTGGAGCCAGCCAAGTAGGAAATACCTATTTTTTCCCAAAGAAATCATAAAATAATTAAAATAGAGGAATCTCTCTCCAATATATACAACAACGTGTAAATCTGAGTCATAATAAAAGATTTAAATTTGAAAGGAGTTTTTTATATATCAAAATGTAAACCATAGTCTCTGCTTGATAGAAGTGTTTCTTTCTTCTTTCCACCCTCTATATTTTAAATTTTTCTACAATGAACAAGTTTTTATAATCATAATATCAAATTTATTTTAGAAAATTTTAAAAGGCACTTTACAAAGATGATAAATTCCAGTGAAGAATCTTAGATTTCAATAGTGAGATAAATCAAAAGGTGGGCAAAGAAAGTAGTTTATCTAGATATCATCATTAAACAAAGTTATATTCACAACTCTCCCTAAAATGACTTAAAATATTTAAAACTTACTAAAATTATCCTACCTTTACTATATTGTTCCAAAACGGATGCATGACATACAGAGAGAGCGGATTGGTATCCACAGCACTGTACTGTTAAGAAATGAAACAAAATATTCAGAGTTAATCCTTGCATACTAGTAAATAGAACAATATTTCTCAAATGAAAATAATGTTACGGAAAATAGATCTACTTATATGATGTCCTCATCTCAATTACAAAACTAGAATCACAACATAAATGGGGCAAAGACTGTGAAGCAGTCAGACAGTACTTTTTCTGAGGGAGTGCCGAGGGAAGACCAAGGGGGAAGCCTAAAGATAACTTCCAAATCAAAGATTTAATCTTATAGTGGCTGTTTCATCCACATATATTCATCTAGTGTCCAAATCACCAGGATGATCACTGATTCATCCTTCCCTCTCAATGAACTTTCATAAAATTATGGTATTTCAGTAAAGAATGTATATTGCTTACTTGTTCTCCCAGTCACGCAGATCAGTAATACTGTGTGCACTCAAACACTGACCACACACCTTATCAACTTCCTTCATCCCTCCCAGCTTACAGGATCCAGATGTCTTCCCCCCCCCACCCCGATTCCATTTCTAATACAATTACAAGCTATGCAGTTTTGGGTAAGTTACTCAACGTCTCTGTGTTAATTTCTTCACCTATAAAATAAGATGATAGCACTTAACCTCAAAAGATTGGCATAAGAATTAAATAAATTAATGACATAGGTAAAGAAACAGCTTGGAACAGTAGCTGGCCCACAGTAAGTGTTATATAAGAATCAGCTATCATTATTAAATGTGTTTTCAGCACAAGAATAATAGCCTCCTTTATGTCAGGAGAGTTGGGAGCATAAATAAGCAAAGGAAGACAAAAATAGGTTAGGGTTTGTGGTAATTGAGCTTATTTCTTATAATGCACATCCATGTTCATTGCAACATTATTCATAATAGCAAAAGGATGGAAATAACCTAAGTGGCCATCAACAGATAAATGGATAAACTAACTACAGTACATAAACACAGTGGAATACTATGCAATGATAAAGAACAACGATGAATCTGCGAAACATCTCACAACATGGATGAATCTGGAGGGCATTACGCTGAGCGAAATAAGTCAATCACAACAGGACAAATACTATATGAGATTACTATTATAAAAACACATGAAAATGTTTCCACACAGAAAGAAACAATCTTTGATGGTTGGTTACAAGGGAGGGGAGAGATGGGGAGGGAAAGACACTAACTAGATAGCAGATAAGTGGTAACTTGGGTGAAGAGTAAGACAGTATACAGTTCTGGGGAAGTCAGCACAACTCGACCAAAGCAAAGTTATAAAAGCTCCTAGGCACATCCAAATACCCTGAGAGACCAAGCTACTAGGCTGATGGCTGTGGACCATGGTCCCAGGGGACATCTAGCTCAATTGGCAGAACACAGTCTATAAAGAAATTGTTTCACATCCGGCTGTGGATAGTAGCATCTGGGGTCTTGTCATGGATTGAATTGTGTCCCCCAAAAATATGTGTATCAATTTGGCTAGATCATGATTCTCAGTACTGTATGACTGTCTACCATTTTGTCATCTGATGTGATTTCCCCATGTACTGTAAATCCTATCACTATGATGTTAATGAGATGGATTAGAGGCAGTTATGTTGATGAGATCTACAAGATTGAATAGTGTCTTAAGTCAATCTCTTTTGAGATATAAAAGAGAGATGTGAGCAGAGAGACAGGGGACCTCATACCATCAAGAAAGCAGCACCAGGAGCACAGTGCGTCCTTAAGACCCGGGGTTCCTGTGCGGAAAAGCTCCTAGTCCAGGGGAAGATTGATGACAAGGACCTTCCTCCAGAACCAACAGAGAAGAGAAATCCTTCCCATGGAGCTGATGCCCTGAATTTGTAGACTTATAGCCTACCAAACTGTGAGGGAATAAATTTGTCTTTGTTAAAGTCATCCACTTGTGGTATTTCTGTTACAGCAGCACTAGATAACTAAGACAGGTCTTAAAAGCCCGTGAGCGGCCATCTGAGATACATCTACTGGTCCATCTCAGCTGGAACAAAGGAGAATAAAGAAAACCAAAGACACGAGGGAAAGATTAGTTCAAAGGACTAAAAACCCTGTTGCTATCAAGTTGATTCCAACTCACAGCAGCCTTCGAGGACAGAGTAGAACTGCCCCATAGGCTTTCCAAGAAGCGGCTGGTGGATTCGAACTGTCAACCTTTTGGTTAGCGGCCAAACATTTAACCACTGTGCCACCAGGGCCCCAGTCCAAAGGGCTAATGGACCACAGCTACCATAACCTCCACCAGACTGAGCCCAGAACTACTGGACGGTGCCCAGCTACCACCACCAACTACTCTGGCAGGGATCACAATGTAGAACACAATTCAAATTCACAAAAAAAAGACAGTCTGACGGAGACTGGAGAAACCTCAGGAGTACAGCCCCCAGACACCCTTTTAACTCAGTACTGAAGTCACTCCTGAGGTTCACACTGCAGCCAAAGATTAGACAGGTCTATAGAGCCAACAATAACACATGTGAGGAACATACTTTGTAATTCAATTCATGCATAGGAGACTAGTGGCACACCAGCCCAAAAGCAAAGACAAGAAGGCAGGTAGGGACGGGAAAACTGCAAGAATGGAAACAGGGAAACTGTGGTGGAGAAGGGGAGAGTGTTGACACATTGCAGGACTAGCAATCAATGTCACAAAACAATTTGTGTGTTAACTGTTTAATGAGAAACTAATTTGCTCTGTAACCTTTCACCTAAAGCACAATTTAAAAAAAGAGAGAGAGTTAACTAATAAGTCAAATGTTTCTTCAACAGACTCCATATGACGTTTCTTCATTTCTCCAACTCGTTCTTACTAAAACAGGATAACTGGGACAAAAGACTATGACAGGTAGTGAAAAACGGGTAGTAGAGAATGCAGGTTTCCTTCTACTGGCCAGAGTTAGAAGCTACGAAGCTGCATCCAGACTCTGAGCAGGAGCCTATTTAAATTACTATTACTGTTGTTGCTACTAAAAACAACTTTCACTTGCACGGCAGTCCACAATGTACAAAGCTTTTCACACAGTATGCATCACTACATCTGAACCTCTGCAGAAAGAGTCCTAAACCGACAAGATTGCTTGAATTTAAGTGTTCACACTAGAGGATATAGAACTGACATGAAACCCTAACAACTGCTGACAGCCAGGTGGGAGGACCCTGGCCTTCTCCACTTCACAAAAGTCTGCACCCAAACCCACGTGATACAGCCTGCAGGTCTGTATCAATAACTAGATAATCAACTAAACTAGAAAATCACACATTTCAAGTCCACCATCTACAGCAAAGTACAAAAGTTGTAAGATGTTCAAATTGTAAGAAAACGGCTTAAGATATCACGTGAACACCTAACAGTGCACAAAGTACAAAGTTCTTAATTCAAATGTCAAATGAGTCTTATGTAAAGAAGGCCAGTGATAACTGCCATGTGAAATCACCATGAATTGGTGATTTTAGTCAGCTTCTTATAATTTTAATTTAGATCTAAAAGAAGGTCCTTAACTGATAATATTTTGATTTGAAAAGCTCTCTTTTTAAATTCTCAAATGTTAACACTAGACCTCTACCTCAGGAGACTAGTTGAGGTAGGAAAAGAATATAGAATTAAGTACAAAAAGACCAGTTTACCTAACTGAATTTCAGTTATTTAACATTTAATAATAGCTGATGCTCATGTATAGCAAGAAACATTAATATAAGATTACAAAAAAACTAGCAAACAATAAACCTAAGGAACACTGTGCTCTAGTCTTACACACGTGTGTATTTTTCAAGGTCCCATATCATTCGGTCTGAACAAAGACACTCTAAGCTGTCTTGTGAATCAATAGAAGGAACAGTGGTTCAAATCTTCCACATACATGAAATAATAAGTAAAATATAAACTTTTAAAGGTGTTACACTAGATTTATGTTATCTGTTAATGCGTGTTAAACATATTTTTATTTTCCATTGGAATGATGTTTTGGTAGAAACCAGAAAATCTGAACCAGGTTGGTAACCCACTGTTAAGGCCTACCGTGACTTGCTTGGTCACAGTCTATAGGGCCAAACAAAGCCAGTGCGGGAGAAGTGCTTGAGGATCCCAGCCTGCATCTGAGAGAATCATTCCAAGGCAAAACTTCAGAACCAAGGGAAAGCTCAGATGATGTCTAACGTAATTCTCCAATGCATGTCTGACTCTCATAGCTATAAAAATGATGAAAAGTCTCCATCTAGCCTTTTTTTAAATGCCTCTGGTTACAAAGAACACAGTACCTCAAGAAGCAATCCAATCCAATGTAAAAACAACTTTTCTACACACTAATAAAATCCTCTCCTCACCCCATATTTTCTACCCTAATTTTCATTTTGCTTTATAAAGTTTAGCAGAAAAGGGTCTAATTTTTCTCCCATATGCTAGTCCTTCAAATATTTGAAGACCGCTAGCTCCCTGTCACACGGAGATCTTCCCTTCACCTGCTGAACATCCCATGTTCCTTTTCCTGCTCCTCGTTTGCCAAGGTTGCAAGCTCCTTCATTATCTAGGTCTAGTTCTCCAAACCTGGGATTGGCAAGCTTTTTCTGTAAAGGTCCAGACAGTAAATATTTTAGGTTTTGTGGGCCACAGGGCCTGTTAACAACTACTCAACACTGCCATTGTAGCTCAAAAGCAGTCATAGACAATACACTAAAAAAAAAAATTTTTCACAAAACTTTATTCACAAAACAGGCGACTTGGGGGCTTTAGTTTGCCAACCCCTGCTCTAGACAATCCAATTTGTCACTAAACCAATACAAAGGTGTGGTCCTGAGCAAAAGGCGTATGTCAAGATATATAAGCAGAAAGAACATGACTATAAGCCCCTCTTCCTCAACATCTTATTTCTCTAACTGCTGCTCAACGTATTAATTTCCTGTGGTGATGAGATCACTCTGCAGACTTACATACAACTTTACAGTCCTTAGGCCTTTTTCATACGGGCTGCTAAGCCACCTTTCCCTACACTAATATGAGG